GGGTGTCGGTACGTTGTACAAAAATGTTAAGCAGGAAATTTTACCAGCGGTCGCTGTGGAGGAAAAAGTTATCTGACACAACGTAAAAGCGCTATAGGCCTTTGTATCCATTCATATAGCCATTACATTATTTTTTTTTTTTTTATAAAAGTATAGCCCTTTACCGAAAATATGCTCGACAATTTCGTTTGTATGGGAGAAAATTCCCAGCACCATCAGCAAAAAAAAAATTATTAAAAATCAACGCATCTTGCGTCTTGAAATTCGCACTTTAACATACTAAAATTGAATGAGCTACAAAACTGCATTTTTCTAAAAGTTCTAAATAAAGATTTTAAAAGTTTCGGATGCAAATGTTAAAGTTTGTTGAATTTTAATAATTTTTGCGTGTAGCTTGGTATGTGGATTTATCTGGCGCTGGTTAGGTAAAGTGCTAAACTCTTATATTAAAAATATAAACATTAAATAAACAAAAGAAAAATGGCCAAAACTAGTCAAAATGTCACTTACATACATACATATGTTCTCTTTTCAATTGAAATTATGTATTTTAGTTTTGCATCCTCTGCCACGCACGCCTCTACTTAATTTAATACTTAAAGCAGCATAAGTATGTAATTAAAAAGTTTTGCAATGAAACTTTCAATATTGCAACTTAATATCATTTGCCGTTTAGCCGGAGGCGCTACACGCTGGCAGACAGCTCAAAGTGAGCATCAATCTGTATCACTTTCAACGAGCCAAAAAAAAACTAAACAAAATTGAAATTAAATGATGTGAAAACTCATCACAGATAACATTTATCTGAACTTATTTTAAGAACTTAGTGCATAAAGTATTATTGAATTGGTAAGTATATCACCTCAACCATGAAATGAAAAAAACAAGAATCTATATATGGTATCTGTATAGAGCAGTGTTGCCATTTAAGCTCTGTTCCGACTAGATTTAGGTTTTTTTATTTGGGTTTAGCCGGAAAACTCCTGTTTAGCTTCAAGCTTTTTTCTTAGCTTTTTCTTAAAATCATTTAGCTTTTTTTAGCTTCTTACTCTTGCTCAAATTATGAACGGCAAATTTAAATATGGTTAAAATGTTTAAGGAGATTTTTATTGGTAGGTATGAAATAAAAAAACAAAGACAAATGCTGTCATTATATTTTACGCCGGCGAGTTCTCATTCCAAGAATATACCCTTCTAAGACGTATACAAATACTTATCAAAATTCATAAATAAATAACTAAATAAAAAAAGTCAAAACGTACAAAGAAAGGCTTCTAAAGCTTCGACTTTTTCTGATATCTGCGAGAGTAGACTGGTTTTTTAGCTCTTTCAAAACTCACATCACCTTTAGGAATGAGCGACACCCGTGAATTTCTAGACGGAAGCTTGATAAAAGGGTCGGTGGATGGTTATTTCATGCAGGGCGCCGGCATCAAGCAGAGATCGCATTAAGGAGGCACTCGAATATCTGTTAAACTGTTCGCCTTTGGCAAGAGCATTTTCCCGGTCAGACTCATTTCCACTAGCTATCAAAAGCGAGTGCATGGTGTTTTTTGTTTAATATTTGCAATATTTTTCAAGTTAAATTTTTTTTATAAAAATATGGTTCATGCTTTAATCGAAACCACATATGTCAACTTTTCAAACTTTCATCTAAAATTGGAACTTTTTAATGATTTTTTTTTTCGACGGATTTTGCGGTTTTATGCATATAACAATTGCAATTTATAAAATATAGCGTTAATTTTCTTAATTTTGTTTGCCAACGGTACTGGGAAATTTTATTCCACAAATCGGTCAGCAATAAAAAATTATAAAAATCAACGCAATTTTTTAAGGCGCGTAAAACTTGCACTTGTTTTACTAGAATTAAAAATCGATCTGTCTGCATACTCAAAACTGTTCTAAAAATTCTGATTAAAAAGTTCCAAATTTAGACGAAAATTTTTTGAATTTTTCTAAGTTCTGTATAAAGTTGGAAAACTCACTTATGTGGTATTGATTAAAGCATGAACCATATTTTTGTTTTATTAACTTGAAAAATATTGCAAATATTAATGAAAAGCATCATGCACCCACTTTTGATTGCCAATGTAGGCACCAGATCATATTGATAGTGCAGGGAATCGCGTCGCGGAGAAGTTGGCCAGGAACTCATGGGGTAAAGATTGGCAGTACCTTCTCTTTGGTAAGTTCTTTTTTTACAGGAATATTTTTTATTTCGGACCTTTTTGTAGGACAAGTAGCTTAAGGATGACCAGGCGTATGAGCAACATTTTAAAATTATTATTTTCCTTAGGGGCGCACGGCCCCAGTGGGGGGATAGTAATGTATAGTAATCGAAATTATAATCAGTAAAACAACCCCATTTCACTTTCGAAAATGCATTTTTTCTCCCAGGTCCCAGTCCTAAGAAAAGTGGGGCATTCAATTTAGTCGAAAAGCTGTGAGGCACCTGAAACAAAAAAAATCGAAAAAAATGAATCAAACCCGCATCAGAAACTCATTACACCTGTAATTTATACCCACAACCGAAGGTCAGCGCATGCCACGAAAAAATAATCGCATTTCAGCTACCACATGCCATATGAGTGCGCTTCCTAATTGTCAACAACAAGAAATGCAAAAACTAAAAAAAGTGTAAATTCAGATTATTTTTCCTCCGTTTTAATGAGCAACAGAAATGGAAACACGTTTTTGACAAAATAATTTCTACGTTTTTTCAGCGAATCATTTCCAACCCAAATTTTTTGCGGACCTCGCATTCAATTTATGTACCTTGCAGTTTATAAAAAGCGGAAGCCTAGCGAAGCATATGAATGGTTTTTTGCAGCCACTCTCCTCCTACACCCTCGCTCAATGTGAATTGATTTTTAATACCATTTGCACGCGCCTGGGACACAACACAGCCAGCGTTGGGACGTGTGCTGCAATAAAAGTATTAACAACAAATATTGCACGTATGACAAATAATAAGGCGAGAGAAGAGAAGTATCACGCACGCTCTGCAAATATGTACGAACAAAAATATGTGACAAGGCTCTAGAATACTTTTGTTGTTCTTGTTATTGTTGTTGTTTGATGCGACCTCATATATGTATAAAACATATGCGGGCGCCTGGTTATGGGCATTGCAAACAGTGTTGCCAGGTAGTTGAATATAGAAATCGTCAAAATGGTTCTCGAAAATTTTTAATAAAACTTTTACGAATTACAAAAATTCACATTACTTATGACAGAAATATGTTTAATTGCATTTAGATAAATGACATACATATTATTCAATGAACTAAGCTGATAACAAAATTTGATGCTAGAAATATTTCTTTAACCCTTGTGTGTTGGAGGTACTTGGGTACATAAGCGATTTTTCTGTCGAACTTTTAAATCAGAAAATTGCTTTAAAACCTAAGCGGAAATACAATTTTCGCTCATATGGCAACACAGTAGAAGCGGATGTCCATATTTCCTGGTGAAGAAACCCTTTCCAAAAAAACCTTAGAATTCAAAAGAAAGGCCTGAAATGGGAAGTTTGGTATCTACTTTAGAATACTTTTAGAATACAAATATAAAATCTTTTAGTTTGGGTTAAAGATTTTTGTGTTGTAAAAAAAATCGAAAAATCGCCACTAAAACAACTGGCAATAAAAAAGTGTACGCAATGAAAAAATGGTGATTTGCTTCTCGAAATCGTCAAATGGTCAAGGCAGTTAAAAATCTTCCAAATGACGACCAAATCGTCTACCTGGCAACACTGATTGCAAACGTGATTGGCAGACGCAAAGGCACAGCGCAATGTAACGCAGGCTGTCAATACAAGAATAACAACAACAAAAGCTCCCGAGAAGCACGTACGCGACCTGCAATAACAACATGAATGGGAGCGGCAACAGTAATGACAACAAGAAAGGTAAAAGCTATTTAGCAACGATGCGAGAAATGTGCAATTGGAAAAGGAAAATAAAACGAAAAAAGGCTCAAACAAAAGCGCTATAAAATGAAACGTGCTGCGTCAGTTGATTTGATATTTATTTGCCCTCCTCCGTCCTGTGTCATTATTTTCGAGTATCATTTTTATTTGTTGTCCTGCGGGTGTTTGCAATTAGCAACACATCCAAATCGAAAATCGAAAGCTTCGCTTTGGCTGTAGGGCGTGAGTGATGCGAAGCATTTAATACAGCTTTCTGTTTTAAAAAAAAAAAATTTTATCGCAGGAATGAGACATACAGTTTTTTTAATGTTATTGTTTTCCATATTTTTAAGATAAAAGGATTTCTTTTGCAAGAACAAAAATGCTGTTGCATGTAAATATTAGTTATTAATTTGACAATAAACAAGTGAAAAAAATGCAGAAAACTAACCAAAACTAAAATTCGTATGCCACAAAAGAAACAAAAATTAAAATAAGACATTTTTTAAGCAAAAAATATTTGTTATTAAAAAAAAAAATAAAAAATGTAATTAGCTTTAGACTGGGGTATCTCAGCAATTTACAAAAAACATGAAAAAAATAGTTGAAAAGGTAAAAAAAAAAAAATTAGAAAGTGAAGATTTTTAAAACCAACATATTTTTTTACTTCCTGCTGGGTTTCGAAAAAAATTACAGAAATTGTAATGTGGTTAAAAATACTATGTTTTATGTGGGTTTCTTTTATTTGGATAAACATTTACACACAAGTTCATTAAAAATAAAGAAGACTTTAACTGTTTTATAAATCGAAAATGTTTATCACAATTTCACTTTATGTAACTTTTTAAATCTATTTTACTTTTTATGAATAAGGCCCTAAGTGTGTTAAAAATGGTCGACTTTCAGTTTTCTCATAGATTTTAATTTTCTTTAATGGAAATGACGTTGCAATAGCCCAGCTAAGGAAAAACTTTTTCAATATCTTTGTTAAAAATGTACAAAAATCTATATTTTTAACTATAAATTATAGTAACAGTAAATTATATAATAAAACTAAATAATATTTTCTTGTCTCTTTTTATCATTTCAGCTCTCTATTCCCAAAACAAAATCAAGGAACTGACACTCAACTACTTAAACTCAACAGTTTCACAGACACGCTGAAAAGAAACCAAAAATCAGCATCAAAAGAAGAACGCCGGAGAGAGTAGCAACAAATTTTAGTAATAATAAAGAAAGTAAAAACTCAACAAAAGAAACACATCTTATAAATTTTCCGCTCTCTACCAAAACTTCTTCACAGACACCTCTCGGCTTTTTCTTACTCACCACACACTCAAAGTCAACCCCATCAACAGAGATCTCATTGGAAACACTTGAAACACTCGCGTAAAATGTTTCACTCCTCCGCATCGGAGTCGAGACTGAATAATGTGAACAGAAATACAATAATATCAACAATTACGCCTACGACAGCCGTGACAACAACGACCATTACATCAACCCCACGCACGCATGGCAGTAATGCAAGCGGCGATCGGAACGCTTGTCAAACAATCGATATACGCAAGTTGGCGGCCACAGCTGCCCAATTAGAAGCGGCTAGTAATGGGCAGCGTAGCACAGCAGCAGCAGCGACGTCTGGGGGAGCGACGAACACAGCAACAAATTGCAACAATATTGGCAACAACATCCACAGGAGTGGCAGCAACAGCAGTGGCGGCTATGCAGCAGCAACACGATCAAGGTTAAAGATAGCAAAAGAAGTAGCAACAACAACAACAACTAGTAATACCACAATAACAACAATAACTGGCAAAGCAACTGAATCAGCAGCAAGAACACCAAATACACTAACAACAATAACAACCGCAGGAGGCGACTTGAAACTGGCCGCGGCAGCAGCGCCATCGCTTTACAAAATGCATTCCAACGCGACGCCGGCGACGGAAAATGGCGTAAGCGGCAGTGGCGGCAATGCGGGTGGCGCAGTCGTACTCAATATTGGCAATGCGGGCTGTCAGCCAGAAGCGCTGCAGCGTCATGGCAGCGCGCACAGCAACAGCAGCGCCGGCGGCCGCTCAGCGCGTGGCGGCAGTGGGAGCGGGCGCAGTCGGAATAAGCAGAGAAAACCAAGTTCCTCAAGTGCCAAGAGTGCTGCTGGCGGCGATAGCACAACTAAGACTACAGCAAACTCAAAAAATACTACTAAAACCACAACAACAAGCAACAATCCTACTAGTAATAAGTCAAGCGCGCCACCATCGCAGCCGCCTACAGATGCAAGCAGGCCGGAGCGGCCAGTGCAGCGATCGAGTAGCAAGCGCAGCGTTAGCAAATCTACTAACCAGCAGGCGCAGCAGCAGCAAAGTGGCGGCGCAGCAACTGCACCAACCCGTTCGCCACAACAAAGTCGTGACACGCGCCATTCGCGATCCTCCTCATCACGTGAACGTTCACGATCACGCTCGCGCTCACGTTCACAACAGCGCAGTGATGAGGAGCGCGCTACACGTAGTGACGCGCGTAATGCGGCAACAGTGAGTGAGGGAGCGCGGCAGCGACGACGTCATGGCGGCAGTCGCAGTTCGTTGGCAAGCATTGAGCGCGGGCGCGGCAACGAAGTGGTGACGAGGCGTGCCGCCGGTAGTGGCAGAGACAGAGGCAGAGGCGGCGGTGATGACGACGACGATGAGGATGATTCCTACACTTCTTCGTCCGGCTCAAGCTGCCATGGCTCGTGCAGCTCAGACGATGGCGATACGAATAGTTCGACGTCGAGCGGTGAACCCAATTTGCCGTATCCAGGATTTCCTGAAATCTCCTTCTGGATCTTCACGCAGGACTCGATGTTGCGAAACGTGTGTTTGCGGCTCATAACCAATCCATATCCTTTTTAAAGATTTTTTTTTGTATATTTTTGAGGGTTTGAGACTGCTGCTGAACAGTAAGTATATGTGTTTCTGCCTAAAAGTATGCAACAAATTTTTTTGAGTTCCATTCAAATATACTCTGCTGTTTTTTTGTTAGTTTCTCATTTTACTGAATGTCTTAAGCAAACTTTTTCATATTTTTGAGTCAGCTACGAATGAAAATTGCCTTCATGTCTTCCCAGAACACGTTCCAATTACTTGAGCGCCTAAAAGTATGCGCTGAGTCAAACAAAAATCATGCCCGTATTTTTTGCATTGTTAAGAAATTTTTGTGCACACTAATTTCAATCTAAAAGCATTTATTTTTTCTCACTTCTTTTTCCACCACTTCTTCTCTGTCTAAAAGCAAACAAAAGCCACTGTACAACGAATAAAGAAACGCCACAAGCATACAAGGCAGCAAAACCAGATTCCTTGCCCAATTTAGCTGATATGCCAAACATAAAATTCCGCTGAGCATAGCATTGAGGTTTTTATGCGAATTTGTGTTGAGAATTTGGAACGAAAAGCGCACATAAATCAAATAAATTAAAAGTTAATCAAAAGCGATTTCAGCCAAGTGGTTGAGGTGGCGCGCACAGAAGGTGTAAGAAAGCAAATAGCAGCGAGCATGAAGAAAAATAAACGAAACAAAAATGGAGGCAAAATTTTGTTAAGTTTGCATAGTGAGTGGTGCTAGGAACCACTTCCCGATATAACTCGATTCAAAGAAACAATAGTGGGGCTGGGTCATACTTGTGAAAGAGAAGTTTAGGTTATATCGTTTATGGGCCAATCAATAAAATTTAGTATCAGATTAAATATTGGGAGAATCAGACACTTTTAGGTTCCAAAAAAATTGATCATGAACTACTCGAAAATAAAGTTAGAATGGCGTTTTATGATCACTAAATTTCAGGTGCCGAACAAAGCAGTTATTGATGAAAACTGTCATTGAAAAATTCACTATGAAGGAAATGTTCTACAACTATCCATTATCTTATTAGAAAAATTTGTGAATACACAAGGTCACGCAACGAGCGGCTTTCCAGTCAAAAATGCCGCTGATTGCGTGGCCTTAAATAGTATTTAATATGTTTTAATTTTAAGCCGCTCACCGCTTTGAAGCTCATTGCGTTGTTTTGTCCTTAGACGTTGCGAAGGACTAAAAGATCAAACGAAATGTTTGTAAGGCCTTCATGCCATTATGGCCGCGGTTTAATAGGAAAAGCACGAAAGACCTTCTGAAAATCAACAGCTCTACAGATGAGTTCTTAATAGCGCCATCGCAATTATGCTGCGATAAAAAGATAAACAATCAGTTGTGGCTAGTCTGGCAAGTAAGAGCTCGTTCTTCATTCATATCTTCTTAAGGGATGAGTGGACGGGCGACAATGGTAGGAAGGATCCGCTAGTGCACCTTTACGCGAATGTGTCGGCGCTTGACGCAAGGATAGGTTGAGGGATCTTTTGCAGGTTAATCTAGTGGCTTCCAGACGGGATTGGTCATATATGGAAGTAGTTGGTTGCCTGCTCAAAAGCAAGATGTCGACAAGAAAGGATAATAACGACTCTGACAGACAATCGGCAAGAAGGGTTTTGGGAGCGCTCAGACCTACTTAGAGGGGGTATCCGCGATTTCTCTTTTAGTTGCGGCTGACTATTAACTAGCTAGACTATATTAATAGTCAAAACTCCGTTCCGAATGAGTTTTCAATTCTGAATACTGGTCGGTGTATTTTGAAAGCTCACTGTCCGATTGGCATCCACGTGATAAAACAAAATATCGCGTGGAATGCCCACTTTAGCAGCTGCTTAGAGAATGGTTAGGTGGAATCATTTCATTACTTACTCTAAAGCTGTCCATTTTCGTGGAGATTGCCATTTAAGCACCTTAGTTCATCCGCCTATATTTGGTACCACGACTCAAAGTTGTGGAAAGTAATGGGGGAGCTGATGAGCTTGCCAAGCAGAGCGTCCTCTTAGACGCCCCTCTAGCGAAGGATATACTATATACCAATTCTTTTTCAGGAAATCAAAAAATTACAACATATGCTCATTCAACGCCAAGCGGACAGGCTTTGGAAAAGATTTCAGGGTTACAGACTTGCAAAGATTTAGTGTAATTCATACAACAAGAAAATTACTGATTTCCTTTCATCAACAAGAAGCACAGACCCGAGACTTCTGGTGGAATTGATAACAGGAAATTGTGTAGCTATGATTTTCGAGTGCCCAGCATTCAGCAGCCAAAGACTCGCGTTACACGGCAAGGCACAGCTGCTGGGTCTGCATTGAGCAATCGACAAAGTAGCCACTGTTTCATGAGTCGTAAACGTGTCTAGACCACGGATGTTATATTCGTCTATGTGAGACTTCCTAAGGCCAGCCAGCATAACCTAACCTAACCTTGGTTCGCATTTTTTAAGCAGCCGTTATAAGCTCTCCAGGGGTGGCATCCACCCGCTGCGAAACTTTGAAACTTTCTTGCCAATTGAATTTAACATAACCTATACAGATAAATGTGCAGTGCTAATATCAGATACTTTAAGATTCTCATAGCCTAACTTTGGCGGACAATCCACTTCCAAAACCAACTAGAAGTTCTGGCATTTGGTACGAAAAATTTTTCGCATAAAAAAAATAAATAAAAAATTATGCCACTTTGCATCGAACCCTCTTTTTTCACTTCGACAGCATCGGCATTATTTTCCAATGCCATTTTCCTAGTCTCCAGCATTACACGCTTGGCATACTTAATTGGTTAGCACAACTTACTTGACGTTTGTGAGCCAAGAATAAGCTTTCGAAGCGAAAACAAACTTTGTGCCAAAACGTGGAAATAGAAACGTAAAAAATTGTTGCCCACCAACATATAGTACATGTAAAGAAATATGGCATCCAAAATGTTTTTTTTGTATGTATGTATGTATATAGAATATTGGAGTAAGTAAAGCCAACAAAAAATGCCCTGCCAGCCGAAATGCGAAAAATGAGCGTCAGCTCAAAAGGATATTTGTTGCATTTCAATAGAGTGAAAAATTCTTGCCAATAAACGTAGTTATGCAGCAAACGTACATACATAGGTATGTACAAAAATTTTTACTTATAAAAACTTACAAGCACTCACAATTTGTGGGGACAGACTAGCGAGCTGTTGGCAACTGGTCACTGGTCATAGCCAAAGATAAGCGCTTATGTCGCATAAATACACTTGTGCGTGTGTGTGTGTGTGTGTGTGCTTCCACTTTGTGCAACAATAAATGCCACCATCAGGCAGTGTTTTACTTGTACTTTGTTGTTGCTTTTATTGCTTGCATCGTTGACTACCTGATGCTGTACTTGCAACGAACCTTAAAAGCAACAGCAACAACTACAACAAACGAGTGCCACTCAACAGCAACTCCACTTTTGGCTGCTGTTGTTGCTGCTGGTTTGCTGTTTGCGCGCTTTGTTCCAGCTAAATGCTCATGGTTTTTTATGTAGCGGAAGCGGAAATAAAAATCAACCAGCGAGAAGCATACGTGTTTTTTTTTTTTTGCTGTTCACGTTTGCAAGTTTACTCCAGCGGACATATTTTGTGCAGCGAGGGCACACAGATTGCAAAATTCATACATATGTACGTACAGTCAAACAAACCGTAAAAGAGTGGAGAGCGCATGCAGCTGCATTTTTACCTGTGCCACATGTTCTTTCATGCTTGCTGTTGCATACATTTAGGGGCTGCGAAACATTTTTCTTTCTTAATTTTTTACGTTTTTTTCAGTTTTTTTTTAATTTTATTTCACCTTATTTATTACACTTTTCAGCATTTTTAGTTTCAGCTTTTAGTTTTACTCGCTTTTTATGTTTATTTATTTTTTTATTTTTTTCTTCGACTGTGCCCCTGCTTTTTCCCTTTTTTTATTTTAACCATTTCATGCCAAGGCCACTGCGTTAATTGGAGAATCTGTTGGGAATATTTGTTCACTCTTTTTCCACCTGTTTTATATTATTTACGCTTTCGCTCGTTATTTAATTCCATTTTATCTTTGACTGCGCAGCGATTTAAATTTAACCTTTTTATCGTAAAATAAAATTGTGGAAGACTAATGAGAAGGTGCAGTAATGTTTTTATATTACAAATAAATAAATTAGATGCAAATTAACCCTTCGACAATGATTGGGTCGAAATTACCTAATTTTCATGAACAAATTCTTTATTTGCAGAGTTAGGTAATTTAAAATAAGCTGCGGAGTTTTCTATTCGTTAAAATTATAACGCGGACTTATATTTAATACCCTCTATCTGCACTTTTTACAAAAATTTGATTCTGAAACAAAACTTCACCTAAGACTTAACTGTCATCGGTGATATTAATGCTGACCTTGTATAACGCTTGCCAGCAGAATTTAATATTAAATTTCAAAGTCAGAATTAACAGCAGTGATGACAGGTACATCCCAGTTGAGTTCCAACATAGTTTTTTCATACACCTAAACTGTTGGTGGGTAATTTTGACCCAAATCTATATATATAATATGCGAAGGGATTTTTGTTCATGATGAAAGATCTGTACCGTTCGTTCGATTTTCAAAAATGGGGTGCCAAATTAAAGCTCTTGCCACCTTTTAAAAAATTAAATTCAAATTATTTAATAATCAAGGCCATCAAATCCGCACTGTTCATTCGATTTTCCAAAAGGAGGCGTCAAACTAAAATCCTTGTACTGAAGATGTGCAATAAGGTTTTACTTTTTTGAAAAGAGTTTTAAGAAATTATATTCAAATTATTTAAAAAAATAAATAAAAATAAAAATAAAACTGGGTATCAATCGAAATGGTTTTGAAATGCTTTGTTTCTTAGCTCAACTATAGGAGGGTTGCCACCTGTTAAAAAATCATATTAGGTAAGAGAAATATGTATCGCCATATGGGTGACACACGAAAGGGGTTTCAGAAAGTAGTAGTTTGAAAATATTTTGAAGAGGGTTGC